GAGATGGTCTCATTTTTTGGAGCACCGGGCAAATATTCCAAGCATGTCTGTGAAATGCCAGAATATTTAGGCTACAGGATGCAGGAAGTTCAGCTGAGCCTCTTGACTGATGGCAACCAGCTCCAGATCAGAGACCTTTCAAAAGATAAATCAAAAACACTGAAAAACTGAATTTCAGCATGTGCCAGACTTCTTATGGAAGTGCAGAGCTGGCAACTTCACTAAGATACCTTCCGGAACTGGATGCAATTCCAAATGGCTAGTTCTCTTTAAATCTCTCAACAAATGTTTACTTCCACGCCTTCAGTCAGAAAGGTATGTAATCATCCAAATTAACACAAGCATTAATTCGTTGGCAAGTACATTCATAAAATGATGCTTCAGATATGCAAAAGATGCCAGGTACAACATAAACCTGAGGAAACAAGTTACTGCTTAACTGGTTTTAAATTATCATCATATGAATCAGGTTATTAAAATGACTAAACAAAACAAGAGAAGGAAACATAACCTCAGAAATGATTCACAAACAAATGATGAAAAAGTTAAATATCAGTCACCTGCATAGAAATATATTTGAATATATATACGAAATAACGAATATTCATGATAGATTCACAGTGATTTACAAATTACGCATCAATGAATATTGAAATTATTTTAGTATGATTTATATTTGATCAATAGGCTTCCTTCATTAAAAGGGTTTACAATATTTGCTTGACTTTCAAGTAAGAAATAGTTAATGTTTTCATACAGTATCAGATTTAAACTTTACATTAATCTTAGTGAATCACATAAATTGATTAAAAACTCTGATTAAACAATTTAAATGCTCACAGCTGCCTTTAAATAAAATATCACATTAAATAAATATATTTTAATGTATGAATTTCTCATTAAAATGTTTTATAAAATATATTTAGATAAATATTGCAATAGATAATTATGCATTAATATACTGATGCATATAAAAGAAAAAGTATTCAATATGAATTCATTTAGTGAAAGACTGTGAAAAACATGCCTTGAATATTTTTTAAGATTATACCATATTTTACTAAAAACATTTGAATCTAAGTGGCTACAACAAAGTTGTTTGTCTGAAATTATGGTTCCTCTAATAAAAAGAGGCATTGCTGAGCAAATTTATAAATGACAAGACAGATTGCAGATCATAAAAAAGCTGAAAAATACTATGATTATGAACATGGGTGAATATTTAAGTATGAATGCATGCACATCTGAGAAGTTTCATGTGGTAAATAGTAATTTTATTGTTCACGCATCACCACAATGCTTCCGTCTCCTCAGCCAGCCATCTTCGTGCAGAGCTCTCAAAGCAAACTTCACTGCTATTCTGCTCTAGGCCTGAATGAATGGAACAAACTGACTCATGCAGAGAGACAGAGGTGTGCGGAGGATCCAAAAAAAGAGGACGTGAAAATTAACCCATTACTGTCGAAACCATAAACTGACAGATGTGACCAACTCTGCACTTTCACAAGATTTGTGTTTTAACAAGATGAATACAGAACTATGCTAAGAAAATATCAATGAACATTAACTACAGTGTATTTTGATGTAGACAGTTTAATTTGAACTATAAAACCAACACTCTGTTTAATCATCTCAGAGTCACCGTTTCCATTCCAGTTTAAGTTATTTGATTCAGCATCAATTAAAGGGGTCATATGATGCAATTTCAAGTTTTCCTTTCTCTTTGGAGTGTTACAAGCGCTTGGTGCATAAAGAAGATCTGTAAAGTTGCAAAGACTAAAGTCTCAAATCCAAAGAGATATTCTTTATAAAAGTTAAGACTCTGCCACGCCCCCCTAAAACGGCTCGTTCTAACACGCCCCCACATATTCAGAGCAGACTGCGCTTGTCAAAGGAGGGGGCTTTGTAGAAAACGAAGCGTTTGAGAGAGGCGGGGAATAGAGGACCTACAATAATGTACAGTATTTGAAAAATAATGTGTTTTTTTAACATTAAAGCATGTCAACATATTCTGTTACACCAAATACACAAAATAATGATCTTTAAAATAGCATCATATGACCCCTTTAAATGACTTTGAAAACCACAGGGCTGATCACAGAGTGAGAGTTAGGACTGATATTAGGGGTCTTGCTGAAGAAATCTTTGATCCAGACATTCAAGACAGACCCCCTTGTCACACGACTCTTAGGCCCTGTTTCGACATGCATGCATTTCAGGTGATCTGCTCAGTATAGCAGGTTGAAATGATTCAATGTCTACACATTATTAACATGCATCTTAAATGTGTCTCCTCTGAGCACTTGAGCTCAGATTTTGAGGGGAGAGACTTTGATTTTTTGGACTACATGCATTAAAACTATTTCAACATTACAGAGTAAAATTCAACCGCCCTCACGGTAAAAATACACACGCACACACAACAGAGACTAGACATTTCTACACACCGCCTTGCGCTCCTTTGAGCTCAGAGTGGAAGTACTGAGCAACGCAAACAGGTAGACAGCATTCAGAGAGCAACCTTTCACTCACAAACTCAATGTGTTAACCACAATGTTTCAAAAGAGCTGAACAACTCTTCTCTCCTCCTGTAAGCAGAACACATTTTATCCAACATGAATGCTAGAGATATTTTGAGTCTCCATCAAGGAGAGCAGATAAAACCAGAATGTGATTGACTAGTTTGCCACCAATAAAAGGTCCTACTGATCCTCCATTTAATGCAACCTATAAAGTTATTCTCCAGTTGAGGTGGAATTAAGATTCTTTTATATCCTTAAATCATCCCTAAACTTTAAAAAAAAAAAAGATCTTCCCAAGGACTTTCTAATGGCTCTTTTCCACTGCATGGTACGGCACGGTACGGCTCGGTACGGTTCACTTTTGGGGGGTTTTCCACTGAGTACAGTACCTGGTACCTGGTACTTTTATTAGTACCACTTCGGTTGGGGTTCCAAGTGAACCGTACCGTTACCAAAACGTGACGTGTAAACTCTGCTGATCACGGATTGGCCGGAGAGAATCGTCACTACCTGCGTCACTGAACTTGCGACACAAACACAAAAGAACCGCTAGATTTAAATCAGCACAGCCCGCGAAGGATCGGACGCAACTGTTTTGAACAAGCGCACCTTTTTAACAACCAAAAAGTGGCTGTTCCCCCGGTTGAGGAAGTACAGACGTTCCTCTCGTTGATAGCAGAGGAACGGATCCAGCGAGAGCTTGATGGGGCGACGCAGAATGAAAA